ATGAGGAGAGGAGGAGTTTTCCCTGGATCCAAAGTGGGAGCACTGGGAGGGTTATTGCTGAGCCCCAAAGGAGGGGTTGAGGGGTCCCAACCCCCCCCCCCAACATCCCCATTTCCAGTTTTTCCAGGGCCATGGAAAAAATCTCACTCAAATCCAAGAAAAATGGCTTTTCCTGGATATTTTTCCTCCCAAGCCATGGAAAAATCCTGCTCAAAACCAGGGAAAATGGCTTTTCCACCTTAATTTTCCTCCTGGGAGCTGCTCAGCCACCTGGAATTGTGGATAAAATCTGCTCAAATCCAGAAAAAATGGCTTTTCCAGGTTATTTCCCCTCCCTCCCAAACCATGGAAAAATCCGGCTCAAAAGCTGGGAAAACCCCTTTTTCAACTTTTTTTTTTGCCGCCTTGCTCCTCTACCCGATCCATGATCAGATCACCCCCCCAAACCTCCCCTGCCTCGGGATCCCGGAATTCCCCAGGAGCCACACCCCTCATCCCGGACCCCTCCAAACGCCCCAAAAAGCAGGAATACTCATCCCAGAGCTTGAAAACACTGGGATCCCTGTGCCAGGAGAGGCTTTTCTCTGGGATTCTACTTCCTTTTTGGACTTTTTAATCTCCAAATAGCGATGGATTGGGAGGAGAAATGGGGGTAAAAAACCCTTCCCAGAGGAGCTGCCACACTCTGGAAATCCAAAGGGACAACTCCCATGGATCCTGGCCTGGAGCATCCCCAGGAAATGAACTTTTTAGAGGCTCTTTTTTCCAGCTTTCAGAGGGATTTTTTCCCGCAGAAAACAAGGAATTTTTTTGAAATTCCAGTTGTAAAAAAACAAGGAGAAGCTCCTCCCCTCCCCCTTTCCCATCATCCCCCCGGCATTTTCCCTGCCTCGGTTTTCCCTGTTTTCTCTGAAATTCCATGAACATGACGGGCACAAATGAGGTTTTCCTTAATTAATAATATTTAGTTGGGGGGGATTTAATTACATCGGGTGGGGGAAGGGGGGGTTAAGTGGCCGCGTCCCTCTGCTGTGACCGGACCAGCTGGAAAAGGTTCTGGAAAACAAGGAAAAGGAGGCAGTGAGGGACGAGGGAGGGGCTCTGGAGCTGCAGGAAAAGGGGATACGGTGCGGGGGAAGGAGGGATGGAGGAGGGGAGGTTGGGAATGGTCAGGATTCCAGTTTGGGATGAGGGGGGAGGGCAGGGAGAGTGGCCATGGCCGGAGCATCCCCATCCCGTGGGATTGTCTCCATCCCTCTGGAGCGTCCCAGTCAATCCCCCTGGAATATCCCAAACCCACAGGACCATCCCAATCAATCCCACTGGATCATCCCAAACCCACGGGTCAGTCCTCCCACTATTCCAAACTTTTCCACGCTTCAAGTTTTCCCACTACTCCCAGCCCTCCCACTATTCCCAGCTCTCTCACTGCTCCCAGCTCTTCCCTGCCTCCAGCTCTCCCACTCTTCCTAGGTTTCCTACCACTCAGCCACCATATTCCCAGATCCAGACCGCCCTGGATTCCCAAATCCAGGCGCTCCTGGATCCCTCCAAGAATTCCAGGGCTTTGAGGGACACCCCAAACTCACACAGGAACACCCAGAGTGGGTGGAATTGGGCAGGAAGCGGGACCACATCCCAGACCACTCCCTGATGTCCAAGGATTTGCTCCCCAAACTCCTCCTGGGAATTCTGGGAGAAATTCCAGCCTGGAAACCTTCTTCTCCCCCCTCATTAATTAAACAACGCAGGGTTGGATCCAATGCCAGAGCAAAACAAAGGACAGGAACTCGGAGTGGGAATATGGAGGGAGAACAGCAAATCTATCCCTAGGAACGCCTTCAAGGTCAGAAAGGGGGATTGGAAGAGCTTGGGAATCCTGGAAAACCATGGAGAACCATCCTCAAGGATGCCACGAGTCTCCAGGCTTGGAAAGAGGGATCGAAACAGTTTGGGATTCTGGAATTTCATGGGAGAACAGCACATCCATCCCTGGTGGGGATCATATGAATCTCCAGGCTTGGCAAGAGGGATCTGTGGAGATGGGGAATCCTGGAATCCCATGGGAGAAGTGACACATCTATCCTGGGGGAGATCCTATGAGTCTCTAGGCTTGGAAGGAGGGGTTGGCAGAACTTGGGATTCCTGGAATTTCATGGGAGAACGAGACATCCATCCCTGGGGAGCTTCCAAGCTTGGAAAGGGGGATTGGCAGTTTGGGGTTCCTGGAATACTGTGGGAAAATCCCATGGGAGAAATGGCACATCCATCCCTGGTAGGGATCATATGAATCTCCAGGCTTGGAAAGGGAGATTGGCAGATCCTGGGATTCCTGGAATCCCACGGGAGAACCATCCGCAAGGATGCCATGAGTCTCCAAGCTTGGAAAGAGGGATCTGTGGAGACTGGGAATCCATGGGAGAAGTGGTACATCCATCCCTGGGGGGGGATCCTTTGAGTCTCCAGGCTTAGAAAGAGGAATTGGCAAAGGCTGGGATTCCTGGAATCCCATGGGACAAGAACACATCCATCCCTGGGGAGCCTCTAAGCTTGAAAAGAGGGTTTGGTAGAGGTTGGGATTCCTGGAAAACTACAGGAGAACCATCCCTAAGGATGCCACTAGTCTCCAGGCTTGGAAAGAGGGATTGGAAGACTGGAATCCTGGAATTTCATGGGAGAATGGCACATCCATCCCTGGGGAGCTTCCCAGCTCGGAAAAGGGGATTTGTGGAGACTGGGGATCCTGGAAATCCACAGGAGAATCCCATGGGACAAGAGCACATCCATCCCCAGGGAGCCTCCAAGCTTGGAAAGGGGCATTGGTAGATCCTGGGATTCCTGGGAAACGCCAGCAGGGCCAGGACACGGTAACAAAGACTCTGGGATCAAATCCAGCAGGAAAAGATCCAAGGGGATGGTAGGGGATTATCCATGGATGCTTCCAGGTAAATCCTGGAGCAGTTTAAAGGCCTGGCTTTAAATCCTGCTTGGGATGAGCAAGAAAAAGGCCGGGAAAAGAGGGATATTCAGGAGCCCAAGTGGAGGTTACTCCCGCTCCCAGCGGTGCTTCCAGGGGGATTTAGGGATCCAGCATTCCAGGATAACACAAGAACCACTGGAATCGAGCCTCTGATCCCAGAAAAGTTCACCCCCTTTCCACTTGCAGCTCTGGAGGAGGGATTTGGGAATCACAGCGTCACGTTCCAGGCAATCCAAAGCCAGGAAGAGCCTGGTGAATTCCCGCCTCAAAAGCCAGGGAAGAAGCACAAAGTTGCCCAGGGAAAAGCAGGAGGAGGATAGTCAGGTCTCCCTTCAGGAAGCCACTGGGAAAAGCCTGTGGAATTTCCTGGCAGGGGCTGGAGCAGGGAAGCAGGAGAGACGCCGGATCCGGCCAGGAATGCCCCGAATCCGGGTGTTTCCCGGTTACCTTGCTGCACATCCTGTCATTCCTGCAGTTTTCATTATCCTGGTCTGCTGCCTCCTCCTCCACCTTGGCAAGGGAAAAAATACAGGGAACAAGGATCAAAATGGAGGGATAGGGGACAGTGAAGAGCCAGGATGGGCACTGGGAGGGATTCGGGGCCATCCTGGGATTCCAGAGCTGGGATCGGGTTCATTCCAGGGACTAGGAGCCAGTGGGGGGAATCCCAGGAAGGTCCCAGTTCCAGCTGGGACATGAATCCCAAATCTGAGATGCACAGGGAAGGCTGGGATGGATTCAGGCCGGGCATTCCCAGCTCCCTCCTCTCCAAGGGGATTCCTTGGGAGATTCCTGTTTTGGGGCTTTCCTGGAAAGCTCTTCCAGGTTTTTACTCCCCTGTCCCACTGCACACACCCAGAGGGGAGCAGGGATGGGCTCCCAGAGGAGCAGGAAAATTCCAGGTAGGGAGAAAGGGGTTATCTCAGGATTATCCCAAACATTCCCATCTGCACCAGCCTTTCCCCAGGATTATCCCAAAAACTCCCATTTGGGCAAGTCTTTTCCCACAATTATCCCAAACATTCCCACCCGCACTAGGTTTTTACCACAATTATTCCAAAAATTCCCACTTGGACAAGGGTTTACCCAGGATTATCCTTCCCAGGATTATCCCAAACATTCCCACCTGCACCAGCCTTTTCCCAGGATTATTCCAAATATTCCCACCTGGATCTCCTCATCCCAAAGCCGCAATGTCCCAACCCCAGATTCCATCTTTCCCCCACTCACATTCCTGGGATTATCCCATACCTCCCCAGGGGGAGGGAGCTGTTTTTAAGGCCCAGGAGAAGCAGTGGTCCCTCAGAAATCCCTGGAGAAGGGAAAAGGGGGAATTCTCACCTCCTTCCTCCACTTGAGCTCGCAGAAGACACGCTCGAAGCACTCGTGCATGTAATTGAACTGCGGAGACATGGAGCGGGGATGGAGCCAGGGACCCCACACCTGGGACAATCCAGGGGATCCTGGCGAAATCCAAGGATCCCACACCCCGGGACATCCTGGACATGCCAGGAGATCCTGGGAGGAGCCAGGAGCCCCACAGGGGATCCAGGGACAATCCAGGGGATCCAACACCCCGGGACAGCCACAGGGGATCTGGGGAAATCCAGGGGATCCCACACCCTGGGATAGCCACAGGAGATCCTGGGCAATCCAGGGGATCCTAGATATGCCAGGGGGGGCAGAGGGGATCCAGGGATGATCTAGGAGATCTTGGACGAGCCAGAAGCTCCAGAGAGGATCCAGAAGGTCCAGAGGAGCTCCAGGGAGGACCCAGCAGCTCCAGAGGAACCAGGAATTCCAGGGGAGAACCAGAAGCTCCAGGGAGGAACCAACAGCTCCTGGAATCAGCCCTACCTTCCATCCCCAGGGATTCCTTCCCAGCCCTCCCTCCTCAGCACTGCTGGAGCCTGGGAGTATCCCAGGTTCCCTACAGGGAACTGGGAGGTTCTGGTCTGGGAGTCAGGAGCTCCAGAGAGGAACCAGGAGCTCCAGAGGAGTTAAGAGATCCAGAGAGGAACCAGCAGCTCCAGGGATGAGCCAGGAGCTCCAGAGGAGAACCAGGAACTCCAGAGAGAAACCACGAACTCCAGAGGAGCTCCAGAGGAACCAGCAGCTCCAAGGAAGAACCAGGAGCTCCAGAGGAACCAGCAGCTCCAAGGAAGAACCAGGAGCTCCAGAGAAGCAGGAGTTCCAGAGGAGCTTCAGAGGAACCAGCAGCTCCAGGGATGAGTCAGGAGCTCCAAAGGAACCAGTAGCTCTGGGGATGAGCTCCAGAGCAGCTCCACAGGAAGCAGCAGCTCCCGGGATCAGCCCTGCCTTCCATGCCCAGGGATCCCTTCCCGGCCCTCCCTTGTGGAGCCCAGGAGTCTCCCTGTTTCCGGGGGGTATCCAGGGGGTCAGGACACTCACGTAGGGGGTGAAGATCTTCACCCACCGCGGCTTCTTCTCCCCTCGTGCGTACTCAAAGCAAAAGGCCATTCCCTCCTCGTCCGTGTCCCAGCGCTGCATCTCCTCCCATGCAAAGGCAATCACCTGGTTCTGGGGAGACACACACAGGGGAGCCATAGGGAGACCAGGGGAGTCCCCAGGGACCCCAGTTGTGCCCCCAGAGACTCCAAGACTAACCCTGTGGATTTAGGGGGGACAAAGTCCAGGTACAAATCCAAGGCGTGAGGTCAGGGCTGACCCCAAGGACCCCAGTTGTGCCCCCAAAGACCCCAGCTGTGATCCCAGGGATTTGGGGGAATAAAGTCCAGGTACAAATCCAAGGTGTGGAGTCAGGGCTGACCCCAGGACCCCAGCTGTGCCCCCAGAGACCCAAGTTGTGCCCCCAGGACCCCAGTTCTGACACCAGAGACCCTAATTGTGCCCCCCAGGCCCCCCACTGGTGCCCCTCCTCACCTCAAGCTGCCCCTCCTCGGTGCAGGCGTGCAGTTTGAAGTGCTGGATGCTGATAGCCGTGATCACGTGGCCCTTGCGCCGGGAGTCGCAGGAGCAGTGCGGGAACAGGATCTCGTTGTAGCCCTCACACGTCCTCAGCATGTTCAGGTACTGCCACACACACAGGCAGGCTCATCCCAGCACTTAAGCCCAGCTCAGCAAGGCTGGAGACCCCCCAAGCGGCCCCAGACCCTCAGCAAGGCTGGATCGCCCCTGAAACAGCCCCAGACCCCATAGGGAACAGGATCTCTTTGTGCCCCTCCCACATCCAGGCACTGCCCCACAGAGCCCAGGAGAGGGGACTGAGGCCTTCCCAAGGGCTTATCCCGGGATTTAAGCCTGGCTCAGCAAGAGTATCACTCACCATAACCATCTTCTTCTGCTCACAGAGCTTCTGTAACTGGTAGGATTTCTCCTCAGCTTTAATGTAGCCTTTCTTGACATCATCCACAGCCTTGGAGGCAGAGGGAAAAACAGGACAGAAATTCCAGGAGTTGGGCCTGGAGGAGTACCAGGTCTGCCCTGCCCCCACCCCAGCTGCTCCCAGCCCCAGTTCCAGCCCCAATTCCAGCACCACAGAAGCTCCAGGATAGGATCGTCCCCCTGCCCTGAGACCCCAAAGGCCTTGGGGGGCTTCAAACATCTACAGAGGCTTTGGAAAAAGGTCCCCTGGGAGGAGAGGATGGATTTGGGAAGGTTAGGATCTGGTTGAGGACACTCCAGGGACACAGATCTGGAAGTTCTGGCTCCTGGAATGGCAGCAGAAAAAGGGGTTTCTCCTTTAGGATTGAGCAGGTTCCTCCTCTCAGTTCCCAGGATTGAGCCACTTCCCTCCCAAAAAGGGAGGAAAAGTTGGAAAAATCCAGCCTGAGAAATGAAATATTTGATAACTGTGACTTTTATATGGATTTATATCCGAGGCTCAGCTCGGACAAGGAGGAGTTGGGCTCTTTTCCATCCCAGGAATTGCTCAAATCCATGTCCCCATCCTTCTAATCCAAGACCCCATTCCTCAAATTCAAGTCCCCATCCCTGTAACCGCTCAAATCCAAGTCCCTATCCCTGGAACTGCTTGGATCCGAGCTGGATTCCCCTCCTGGACTCCCCAGAAACCCCGAGCTGCTCGTTCCCAGCACCCCGAAGAATTCCCAGCACTTCGGGAACAGCTCCAGGAGTTAAAACCGTAAAAATCTGGGTGGGATTGAGCACAGCGTGACTCAACCCCCTCCTGAGGAGCCTTCCCTGGGATAAAGGAACAGCAGGGACAGGGTAGGGGAGAGCAGCCGGGCAGAAAGGGACCCGGGAGGTTTTTAAGAGCAGACTGGATGTGGCATCAGTGCCATGGGCTGGGAACCACAACGAGGTTGCATCAAGGGTTGGACTTGATGGTCTCAGAGGGCTTTTCCAACCTTGCTGATTCTGTGATTCTGTTATTTTGTGATTCTAAGATTCTATGACTCTACGATTCCAGGACTCTGTGATTCATGATTCTATGATTCCATGACACCATGACTTAATAACTCCCTGACTCCATAACTCCCTGATCCCATAACTCCATAACTTCATGAACCTGTAACTCCATGGTTCCTGGGATCCCACCTGGTGGAAGAAGTACGCGAGGGCCAGGTCGTTGTCGTTGAGCAGCTCCTCCTCGGCGGGCGTGAAGAGCCACTTGCGCAGTGTCAGGCATGTCCCCGGCACGGCCGATGTGTAGTTCTGCACGTACAGCTTGTGGGGAAACTCGTTGGGAGCCAGCTTCCGCACTGGGAAAAGCACGGGAGACAGGGATCAGGGCACCAGGAATGCTGAGAGAACCAGAAGAGAACTGGGAGAACTCGGGAGGGGAGACTGCGGGGCTGGTGGGGCCAGGAGATGGAGTGTGTCAGGTTGGGGTTGAGGAGAGAATTCCTGGAAAGTTGAGGGGTTTAAGGAGTTAAAAATTCCCAGAATGTTGAGGGGTGTAGACAGTTAAAACCCTTCCAAAGTGATCCCAAACCCCTCCAAAGTGACCCCAAACTCTTCAAAATTAACCCCAAATTACCCCAAACCCCTCCAAAGTGCCCCCTGTGGAATTTGGGCTGTGTTTTCCCAGTGGCCTCGGCAGCTCCAGGCCAGATTCCAGGATCTCTGAGGGCTTATCCAACCTCAGTCTCCCTGATTCCCTGCATCCCAAGGGTTCCAGGACTCACCAAAGGAGTGGTTGATCACCTCGAACAAGGCGAAGTAGTTGGCCGTGACGCTGTCCATGCCCACCTTGGCAGCCACGGCCTGGAAAATACGGAAAACGGGATGAGCAACACCCAAACTAGCAGCTCTGGGGCCAAGCCAGGATTCCCAAGTATCCCCCGCCACAGAAAGCCTGAATCCCACTCTTCCAGCAAAGCCAGGTGGGTTTTTCTAGGGATTAGAATCACCCCACCACACGGGTTTTAAACTTCACCACGAGGGACATTTACTCAGGTCATGTGTCCTGACGCTTCCCAGCCGCAATTCCCAGCGGGAATGACGGGAATGGCTCCCTCCTGGGAATGTTACTCCATCAGCATTCAGCACCCTGCGATAATCCCACAGCCAGGACTCACTGAGGCCATATGGAATTCCACAGGCTATGTCCCAAACATCCTCCCAAATCCTACCTTATCCCCGGGATCCTCTGCTCTTTCCCAGCCTTCTGTCCCTCCCTTCCAGCAGGATTTTTAGATCCTTTTTCCAAAGGTTGTTTCTCTGCACCACCTCATTCCCCCCAAATCCATGGACCCAATGGATCCCAATCCTCCAAAAACAGCAGGAAAAAGTTCCCACTTTCCTGCATTCTCCAGGTTTTCCCCTTGTTTTTCCACTTAAAACATGGATGCTCTGGCCGTTGCACACCTGGAATCCAGTTCCTATCTTTAATATTCTTATTATCCTTGATATCCTCGACATCCAACCCCCTGTCCCACCACGGAGCCACAAGGATTGATGCGCTGGCTGCCGGAATTGATCTCGGATCCAACCCCTCCACTCGAAGCCTTTCCAGCTGGGGGAGGCTCTCCAGGAAAACCAGTTCTCAGTAAGTTAAAGAACTCCCGAGGTGCTCCGGGGAAGGCGTTTTGGCATCCCTGCCCTGTGCTGGGCGTCACCCGTGCCCAGGTGCCATCAGGACAGAGGCAGGTGGGGCGTTCCCAGCATTCCAGGGTGGGTTTTCCAGGTGAGGGAGGACAATCTCAGGCATTCCAGAAGAGGGAGGGCATTCCAGGTGAGGGAGGAGGAGCCTCACCTGGTACACCTGGTCAGTGGTGCTGTTCTTCTTCACCCGCACCGTCACTGTCGTCACATCTGGCAGTGCCACGCGGAGCTCCACGTCTGACACCCCATTGTAGTTCTGGGACAAAGATGGGAAAAGATGCCCCAAATCAGTGTCCTTTGCACCCAACCTCCACCGCTGGGCCTCAAACTCCAGCAGGATTGAGGAATTCCGGCGGGATGAGGAGCTGGGAGGAGGGAGAGGTGCTGGAGGAGGGATCTTCTCCCAGGGAACGGCAGGATGAGGCCTCAAGGGAGAGGTTTAGGTGGGATATTTGGGAAAATTCCTTCCTGTCAGGCATCAGAAGGGCTGCCCAGGGCAGGGGATGAGTCCCAGTCCCTGGAATTGTCCAGGACACGTGTGGATGTGGCACTTGGGGACAGGGATCAGTGGTGGCCTTAGCGCTGCTGGGTTGGACTTCATGGGCTCAGAGGGCTTTTCCAGCCTTAATTCCGTGGTTTGTTCCCATGGAATTCGACTGGAGCTGCCCAGGTAGGGCGACCCACCTCGTCAGACTCCGACAGGAATTCCTGCATGATGTCACTCTCGCCAATGACCCGGATGGAGCACACTGCGAGACACAGGGAGCGTCACTTCTGAGGGAACAGGGGGCCCCTCCCACCCAGGAACGGCCCCTGTCCCACCATCCTGACTTATCCTGAAGGGAATTCCTCCACCTGGGTCACTTCCTGTCCCTTGAGTCCCCTCCTGTCCCCTGGGTCCCCTCCTGTTCCCTGTGCCCCTCCTGCCCCCCCATACCCCCGTTTACATCCCCATTCTCCATGTTTTGGGCTCTCCCCACGAATCCAGAACCTCTCCAAGCCGGAGCAGCCCAGGCAGCCTCCCTGGTTCCCCTCTCCCACCTCCCAGGGTAGCAATTCCCAGCTGCCGTGCCCAAGACCTTTCTCCAGGTACTCCTCCAGGCCCCTCCTGCGGGCATCCAGCTGCTGCTCTGACAGGGAGAAGGGCCACTTCCCAGGGAGCCGCGGGAAAGTGAAGTTGGCAAATTCCCGCTTGAGATTCTGGTGCAGGATGGCGAATTCCCGGTAGCGCTTGGAGCAGAGCTGCCGGCCCGCCATGTAAACGTTGTACACCTGGGATGGGGGACAGGGAATGCTCAGGGAAAGTTTCAAGATCCCACTGGGACAGCCTAGACCTGCCCACCCTGCTGGGGACTGAGGTAAACAAGGAGGGTTTGGGATACAAGGAAAAATTGGGATGGGGAGTTAAATAAAGGAATTTGGGGAGATGGGGGATGGCCCAGCTGCTCCCAATACCCGGGAGCCTCGTGAGCCCCAAAAATTGGGATTCAGGATCATGGATACTTCCCATGAGACACAGAGAGACCCCAAAATGAAAAATTGGGATGGGGAGTTAAATCAGCATATCCCGGGAGACGGAGGATGGCCCAGCTGCCCCCACTGTCCAAGAGGCTTGTGGTGGACAAAGCCCCAAATCTCGGGATCCAGGATCATGGATACTTCTGACAAGAAACAGAGAGATCCCAATCTCCTTGTGTTGCATTGAAAGCCCCAGATCTCAGGATTCAGGATCAGGGATACTTCCCAAGAGACACAGAAAGATCCCAAACTCCTCGTGTTGCAGCCCAAGCCCCAAATCCTGGGACTCAGGATCATGAGACACAGAGAGATCCCAAAGCCTTCATTTTGCATCCAAAGCCCCAGATCTCAGGATTCGGGATCATAGACACTTCCCATGAGACACAGAGAGGTTCCAAAATAAAAAATTGGGATGGGGAGTTAAATAAACAAATCCCAGGAGATGGGGGATGGCCCAGCCGCTCCTGATATTCGGGAGCCTCGTGAGCCACAGATCTCAGGATTCAGTATCATGGATACTTCCCACAAGACACAGAGAGATCCCAAATCTCTGCTTTTGCATCCAAAGCCCAGATCTTGGGATTCAGGCTCACGGACACTTCCCCTGAGGCACAGAAGGGTGGATCAAGCTTCCCATTCTGGGAGGATCCCTCTCATCCCAGGAGACCCGGAAATCCCACGGAAATCTCCCAAATCCCTTCCCGTCCCAGCAGAAAGGCCCCGAACTATTCCTCAAATTCTCACCACGAACTTCTCGCCGTTCTGCTCCACGTGTTTGTAGGTGGGGATGGAGATGGGCACGGCCTGTTTCTCCGTGTAGTCGTAGAAGGATTGGCCCAGGGAATCCTCTCCGGGATCCAGGCTCTCGGCCTCATGCGGGGGTACCGACAGCACCGTCAGGATCAGCTCCTTCTCCCCGGCCCGGATCAGATCCACCACCTGCTTGTGGGTGGCCCCTTCCACGTTCACCCCATTCCTGGGGAGAATAAACAACCACAGGTCATCCCAAAAGCACATTCCCAGGGAATTCTCCACTCAGAAAGTTGGGGGGACTCCATGGAATTCCCTGGTTAGGTTTGAGGTTCAGTTTTCCCGCCGGTGGGTTTTTGGGTTAGGAGGGAACAGGTTCCACTTGGAGATAGGGAGGTACCTGGAAGGTCTTAGGAAATTTAGAATATTCTTAGGATATTAAAATGATATTTAATATATTTAACATATTTTTTTGATACTTAGGAAATTTAGAATATTTATGGTATTTAGGATATTTAAGATATTTTTAAGATGCTTTTAGGATATTTAAGCTATTTAGGATATTTAAAATATTTTTAACCTATTTAGGATATGTAAAATGTGTAAGATATTTTTAGGATTGGAATACGGGAAAATAGGAACATTGGAGCTTAGGGATATTGGAATATAAGGATATTGGAAAACAGGGACATAGGGATATCGGAACACTGGAACGTAGGAGCATTGAACTGCAGGAATATCGGCACAGGAAAACAGGAATACAGGGGTGTTGGAATATAGGGATACTGGAATGTTGAAATATAGGTATACAGACTATTGGAATATTAGAGTACGGGAATACAGGAACACAGGGATAGTGGAATACAGGATATTGGAATACAAAACCACAGGATACTGGAATACAGGAATACAGGGATATTGGAATAGAGGGATGTTGGAATACAGGAATAGAGAGACACTGGAATATAGGGATATAGGGATACAGGAATACAGGCATCTAGGACACCGGAATACAGGAATACAGGGATATAGCATATCGCAACATAAGGCTATCGGAATACTGAAATATACGAACAGGGTTGTTGGAATGCAGGACAATTGGAATACAGGAATATTGGAAATCCCGGAATACTGGGTTATTGGAATGCAGGGCTACTGGAATACTGAAATATTGGAATCCTGGAACACCTGGCAGTGCCACAGCACCCAGGGACAAACCAAAGCCACTTCTCCCAGGGAATACACAGATAAACCAGGAGGGAATTCCCGCTCCATCCAGCTGCTGTGCTACTCGTCCACGGAGAGGGACATCCAGCACATGGAAACTCCCTCATTAACCATCATTAACACAGCAATTAATTAATCCCAACCCACCCTCAGGCGGGTCCTCACCCGTCCTGGTCCAGAATCCCAAAATTCCAGCCCCAGGCTCCAAACCCGTCTCGAATTCCCAACCCAGCGCTTGGAGTGTTCTCAAAACACTTCGGAAAGAGGGAAAATGTCAGCCCAACACCCCCAAAATCCCCCCCAAATCCCACTCCCCCCGCCCCCAACACACAGACACTGCTCATCCACGTGCAGAATTCCAACCCCCTCTCGGTGCTCCTCCCAGGCGGAAAAAAAAAAAAGGAGTCGGGAACTGGGTCAGATGGGAAAGAGCCAAATCTCAAGAGGGATTTCTGTGGCCATGGGGGTGAGTCCAGGCAGCTCCTGAGAGCCACTGCTGCCCTTCTGAACATTCCTGCTGCTTGGAAATCCCTGGAATTAACTGGGAATGGGGCTTTTGCCAACCTGGCATGAAGTAAAACTCCAACAGGATCTGGAGGAATCCTTAAAAAACCCACCCCGAAACCCCACAAGGCAAAGGGAAAACCTCCCCAGGAGGGGCCTCATGTTGGAATTTGGGAATTTTATCCCTAAAATTGCCCCCCTGCCCTCCCCAGGAGGGCCCTCGTGTGGAAACCCAAGGGATTTTATCCCTAAAGATGCCCCCCTGAGGTCTCCCAAGTTGAAATTTGGGATGTTTATCCATAAAAATGCTCCTATGCCTTCCCCAGGAGGGTCCTTACATTGGAATTTGGGAATTTTATCCCTAAAATCTCCCCCCTGACCCACCCAGGAGGGTCCCAAATCCCCAGTGACCCTCAAACCTAAGATGGGGGGAGGACGTCCCCCCCTCCTCACCCCCACTAAGGGCTACCCAACGCCCCCCTTCCCTCTGCCTCAATCAGAGACCTCCAAAACCTCCACAGGGGACCTCCAAAACCTCCCCAAGGGAGGGAGGAACAAACCAGCCTCCCAACTCCTTGCTGAGGGGGGTCCAGGACTCCCCCAAAGCCAGACGAGCCCCCCAATTCCGGGCCTCCTCAGGACCGCCAGCAAGGGGTGGGGGCTCAATTTCGGCTCAGCCTCCTGTCCTCAGGACCCGTCAATCCAGGGCCCCCTGAAGACCCCCACAAAGACCCAGTGAGGGGTGGGGGGCTCAATACCCCCTTCTCACAACATCTCCAGCAAAGCACTGTCAGGACCCCCCCAAACTCCCACTGAGGGGTGGGGGGTTCAGTTTGGGCTCAGCTCCCCCCCTCCTCAGGACCACTCAATCCAGGGCCCCCTCAGGCATCCACCAAATCCTCAGTGAGAGGCGGGGGGGGAGGGTATCATCTTCCCGCTCCTCACAACACCCTCACCAAAGGACCCTCAGGATCCCCCGCAAAACCTCAGTGAGGGGTGGGGGGGGTCATCCCCCCCTCCTCACAACATTCTCACCAAGGGACCCTCAGAGTACCCTCAGGACCTCCCCAACACGC